TTGCCCCGGCCAACAGCCAGCTGACCGGCAGGTGCGTGAGCGAGACTATCTTTCACACGAGCAGGGGCCCCCAAGACCAAGTGAGTCGGACTCAGAGGACCAAACCATCCAGATGCTCAGGAGTCTTACTGTGTTAAGTTATCCAGTTCGGGGAAGGCTCGTCAGGCGCCATTTTTTGTGGTAACGGCTAACAGGCACCAGCACTTAGCCTGGTGCCTGCATGAAATATGTGCTCGATACATACGTGCAGCACAATTCCATCAATGAATGAATGAAAAAGAGGAAAATGTGTGTCTTGTCGGTCGTGATTATTTCAACACCAAGCACAGCGCTTGAAAGGTAGTGTGGAATGGATGAGTAGAGGGTGACAGGTCCCATCAGCGGGCCAAGGAACCAAACAAAACCCTCTGGCTTTCAAGGGCTTAGGAGAAAAGCCCCCTGGCACTCATGGAAGAAGGGAAGGTAGTAGTGCTTAGTCCGTAAGGGAGCAATGCTTGAGTCTGTCTTGAGCAGGATCTTTGGGCTGGCTGGGGCCCGGGCAGTGAGAATCTCAAGTCATCCTGGCAGAGGAGGGTCTGTTCCACAGCTAGAGAGAGGACCCGGCCTGGTCAGGCACCTCTGGGCCTCTCCCTCAAGTCAGCTTTACACAGTTTCCGGAACCCTCTACCGCCTGCCCAACCCTCCCGTTCCAGACCTCTATGAGCCCCAGGGCTGCCTTTCTCAAAATGTGGTTACCATCTGCCTCTGAGCTGTCTGGAAAGCGAGTGAAAATGCAGAATCCTGGGCCTGACTTCAGAATTGCTATATTGAAAAGTCCAGGGCTGGTGGCCAAGAACCTGTATTTCAAGAGGTTCCACACTTCCTTGGGGGACCCGTGGACACAGAAAAGGAAGGGGCACCTGTGCTAATAGATTGGGGCATACAGATTCTGGAACAGGCTGCAGAATAGAGGCGATAGCCAGAAATGTATAGCCACCCCAGCAATCCCCACCATGACATGGGACGTAGGCTTCTCATACCCATTTCATGGATGAGAACAGTAAGGCTCATTGAGGCAGTAAGTGTTCCCGGCTGCCTGACTTCCTATCAGCAACTTTTTGCTTCCAACCCAGTGGAATGCACTCAACAAAACATGTTATTTTTTATCTTCCTTCTCTTTTAGGCTTACTTGCTCCTTGAGGAGGTGGGAACGCAGAAGTTGAAGGAAGGCCACCAAACAGGCATCCAGTGAATGGAAGACACAGTATGTGGGAGGTTTTCACACCATCTTTAAGCAACTGGAGTCAAACGTCTCTTCTGTGGCCAAGCTAAATGTTGTTTTCCAGTTTAGGGTTTTGTTTGTATGTGTGTGTTTTAAATAAATCTGATAATTATGCCACAAATGTTCCCAGCACACTTGGATATATTTAAATTACAGGCTGCCGATCAAATAGAGAAAATTCACACACACGGACATAAATGGTGCCTTTTGTTTGTTCCCTGCCTTTCTGAGGCACTCAGTTGGTTCTGTCAGCTCCAAGGCCAATTCCAAGGCTGCCTGGGATGAGGGGGAGTGGGGGGGAGGGGTGGGGGCTGACAGAGAGCCGACAGGAAGTGAAGCCCCCTGGTGAAAGACTGTGGTTCTTTTCTTTTATGAAAACATTTCTTTGGCGCCTGTAATTCATCTCAACGAGCCAGTTTTGAAAACACAAGTTGGCAACAGGGATGTTTGTGCCTGACTGGTGGCATGCCCTACTCACCGTTATGGGCCAGAACCCCATTCCTGATCATCGCAAGAGAGGATCAGAGGGTCCCGTGTTCCCATCTCTTTTGGCCCATGCTGTGGGGCCTGTTTGGGCTCCTAGAGGCCCGGGGTCCTGCCTGGGGTCCGGCCCGGGGTACTGTAGTCTCTGCCTGTCCACTGTCTAACAAAAAAATTAAAGTGGAAGTTTAAGTAAGGGAAGACTTATTTCCAAGGAGGTTGCAATAGGGAGGGGTCTACTGTCCTAGAAAGAAAGCTGTGACCGTAATGATGGGGTTTCGGGGCGATGGGGGGTTTGGAGCGGATGGCCAAGAAAGAATTCTTGAAGACGTCTTTGGTGCAAAAAGGTGATATTTATTAAAGCACAGGGACAGAACCCGTGGGCAGAAAGAGCTGCACTAGGGTTGTGAAGGGTGACTGACTATATATTCTGGTTGGCAGGGGGTTAGGGATGGCACAAGTCTCTAAGGAATTTTGGAAGCAAGGTTTCCAGGACCTTGAGGGGCTCGCTGTTGCTAGGAAAACGTCTTATTACTGCTTAGGAAGACCTCAGTCATGAGACCCTTCAGATGTATATCAGGGGCCTTAAGCCTGGATTATGATTGCCAACATATATCTTGGGGGGGGTGGGGTAGAGATAAAGGAGGTTTGCAAAGGGATGTTTTTTTTTCTAATTTTTTAATGTTTTATTTACTTTTGAGAGAGACAAAAAACAGAGTGCGAGTGGTGGAGGAGCAGAGAGAGAGACACAGAATCCGAAGCAGGCTCCAGGCTCTGAGCTGTCAGCAGCCGGAGCACAGAGCCTGACGTGGGGCTCGAACTCATGAGCTGTGAGATCATGACCTGAACCAGAGTCAGACACTCAACCAACTGAGCCACCCAGGCATTTCTTATGTGTTTAAAGAGACTCATAGGATCCTGCGGGGGAGAGGGGGTCAGGATAATGTTAAGCCAAGACTCCCTTTTGTCCCCTACCAAAGTGTCATCATGGAGGCAGCTGAGCTTCTAGAGGAAAGTCACTCTGCTAGCTTCAAGGACTTGTCAATGGGCTGCAGGCAGTAAGGGAATTGGATTTTTCATTTGCCTTTGTTTCCCATATCACCGTGGCCAGCACTGAAACCCTCTTACATCTCGATAAGGGAGATTTTAGGGCTCCAGGAAATGGAATCTATAGGTTTCTGGAGATTAGGATTGCCTTTTTCTTGCCGTTTTACTACATTATCCCTAAACTGAAGGAGACTCTTGTCCTGCATGACTGTGATCTCTGTCAGTCTTTCTTTCCTTTCCCCTCCTTTTGGGCAGCCAGGAGTGTCGGAGGAATGCCACACATATCCCACCTGGTGCGGGGGAGGGTGCTGTTAGCCTGTACTTGGTCCTCAACTTGCCCCATGCTTTCTCATCAGTAAGGTCTGCGAGCATCCTCAGGGTTAGGCAAAAAGATTTTTTTTCTTTCATAGGCTGCAGAAAAGAACTAGAAAGTGGGATGAAGGAGGGACATAAGCGGACGGGGGGTCAGAGAACATTCCATCATGTTCTCAGGAAGGACTGTCTCCTGGCTTAGGCTGAGGGTGGGCCAAAGTTCAGGGGCTGGAGGAAGGAGAGAATTTAACCAAATTTGGTTAACGAGCATTTTGCTCTGATTGGTTACTGGGGACAAGCAGTTGTGCTAATCACTTATGAGGCCAAGAGTGGGAATTTGGAGGGTCTGTGTCTGGCCTTGCCAGAGGTAAACATGGGCGGGATCCATACGTCTTCCGTAAGTCCCATGGAAAGGGGTGGGGGGGTCTTTGCAGCAAGCCGTTTTCTGGAACACAAAAGGGTGAGGGGGATTCCTTCAACCTTCACTGTTTTCAGGAACACAAGGCTCAGGCAAAATTCAATGCTCTCACCACTCGACTGGGGGTAGGAATTATGATAATAGTTAATCTAGGATTTTAATATTTTTAAGTGCTTTGAAAGTGCAAGATGTGTAGTCAATGCTCAATAAAAATTTGTTAATCTCTCTTGCCTGCAAGATCCTTGCCAGTAGAGGGTGAGTTCATTTGGTGTGTTTTCCGCGGTGCTAGCACCCTACCTAGAACCCACTGATCTGTGGAATTGGCCCTGAGCAAGCCTCAGTCTCCTTGTCTATAAAACATAATAATCTCCACCTAACAGGTTGTTACGATAATTAACATCGAGCAGTCTCAGGGCCCCAGGTAATGCGTGACATATCCCTGGTGGCCAGTGACAAGGCTCTCTCCTTGAATTAACTGGAGTCAGGCTCTTCTGAGTCCTCTTTCTGACTAGGCCTTGACCTTGGGTGCTGTCCTTGGCTTGCTGAGTCCAGTTTTAGCAAGAATCCCCCACCCTTGATATCTGATCAAATTTCTTATCCTCTACCCTTGAATTTCTTATCGCCCTGGCCTGCCTTCAGCAAAAATCCTGAGCGGTCGATTTAGCAGAATTCCCCTCATCCCTGACGCTTCCTCTTAATAATTTCTCATCCACTGACCTAGACCCTGCTCGTTGGCTATAAATCTGCACTTGCCTTAGTCATATTTGGAGCCAAGCATTACTTCTCTCCTCTATCACAAACCCCCACTGCAGTGGTAGATAGCCTGCCTCACCACCTTTAACAGGTGTCATGAATAACTTTATTCTCTGATACCAGGAAATGATTCCCTACCATTTCCTCCTCGGACTCTGGACCCACTATGAACAGAACTTTCTACTGCCTCTGTACAATGCTTCAAAAGGCCTGAATCCCTGGAAAACACAGGCAGTATGCTCCAAAATGAAACCCGTACTGACGGCCACACCACTCGGTCAAGGCCGCGGAGGCAGGAGTGAGGATTCTGGCCCGCCCACTGAAACCCAGGATTTCCTCACTCCCCTATAGGCCGTGGATGCGCAAATTTAGGATCTGTGACTTTCGCAAAGTACAAGGATTTGGCCACTTTATTTCACTGGGCATTGGCTAACCTCCCTGTACACACTTGGAAAACGAATCCTCTTTGTTGTAGGGTTTAGATGAAATGGTAGATGCGAAGCTGACTAGCACACGAAGTTATCCTTGGTGAGGCAGTCGCAGGTGTCCCATACATGGGAAGAGAAACCCGGGAAAAGGCCCTCACCCCTGCTTGCTGGCCGCCGCCACCCGCAACAGCCTTTTAAACAAGACTGGGCGGGGCCGCGGCATCGACCACTCGGCGCTCGGCTAGCCACTCCGTCCCGCTCAGACGAGCGCCGAGTGATCGATACCTCGGCAAGCCTTGACTACTCGGAGGAGCCAGAGTGTTCCGACCAAACGGAGCACGTCGTCGCCAGCCTCTGCGCAACTCGACACTGCCCAAACTCGAGACAGGTGAGCTTGAGCAACACAAGAGGGAGGGAAGCGCTGGCTCCTTAGACGCGGAGGGGACGAGTGCGCAGGCGCTGTGTTAAAGGCGAAGCCGGGTGTGGAGGTGGGGAAAAGACAGCCTTGCGCGTGCGCTTTGAAAAGCCCCAGGCAACTCTTCAAAGTAGCGAAATGGGGGGGGGGGGGGGCGCCGGCGCATGCGCCCTGAGAAATCCGTTTAGTGGCTCTCCAACTCTGCAGCACGCCCTGGACAGGACGTAGGCCCCGCGCGTGCGTAGTGCCTTCCCTAAACCAGTAATTTCGCGAGGCCTGCTGGTGTGCGTGCGCCTGCGCGATTCGTGGGGGCGCGTTGGTGGAACTCTAGTGCGCCTGCGCGAAGGTCCCTTTTCCCACTCTCCCCCACCCCCCCTCCGTGAGGGTACCTGCAGGTAGCGGACTAAACCTAACTTTGTCGTAGGCCCGGAGCTAGGTTCCTGTAAACCGAACGTAGGCTGCGACAGCGAACTCCGGGGCAGGGAAGAGGTGCGCGCCCTCTGTGGGGCGTCGGCTTGGGGTACCTGAAGGACAGGGATTTCTAAGTAATAGGAGTTAAATACTGAGCATCGGTGTCGGCCTATGCCCCCCGTGCTAGGATCCAGCAAAGGTAAGCCCAAGGTCAGGGGCAGACAGATGTTAGGGCCCCACCGACGGCCCGAACCCGAGACAGCGGGGCCCTTAGAAAGCTACAGTTACCCTTGGCGCCGGTGAATAATGCTTTCTGGAAATATTTCCAAACCTATCTGGAAAGTTTTATAAAGCTCCCTAGAAAGCTCTTGTTTCTTGCACAACTTTCGTGGAATAGTGCCACGGTAAAATTGAAGAGATTTTAAAACTGAGGGGCCAGCCTGCCCCCGGAAAGCCAGGTAGAGGCTCCTATTTCAGAAGCCACCCATGGGAGACTTCTCATGACCAGCATCCTGCTTTCCGGATGGCCCTTTTGGGTTAGCCTGAGACCTCTGTGGGGTCCTGGGGGGCTCTTAAATAAGGCCAACCTTCTGCGGATCCTGGTGAGATTCTCCAAGAAGCCATTTCTCCCAGCCAATTTAAAGTCTGTTGTGGGAATTGCTTTAGGTTTTAAAAGATAATGTAAGAGAAGTCTGGGGTGAGTCTGGTGGCTTCCCACGAGGCTTTATTTTGTAACCAACAGAAGCCATTTGGGCTCTTCACCACCTAAGGCAGCTTACATAATGTGCTCTGTCTGGATGGTGAATTTATGAGGTCGGGACCTGAGTCCGTGCAGTCTGTTTCTGTAGCCTGTACTTGGCTCCTTTGCGCTTAGTGCAACCAACAAGAAACTTTTTATGCAGTTTGCATTAGGTTGATTTATAAAGCTGAGATGAGAGCCACTCGGAGAGGTTAGTTCAGACAATCTGTATGTGACCCCCGTACGTAGGATATCGTTTCGGGACATCAACAAATAGGCCTTTTGTGAGAGACGTGGAGACACAGTCCACTAAGAGACCTTCCCGTGAAAGCTATTCCAGCTCGTGAAACCAGGACTGCGGCACTTACATGTCAGTTTACAAAGTCAGGACACGAGACCCCTGGGGCTGTGTCTAGACCTGACACCTCCATCCTCGCCTCCTTCAAAAAAAGCCTTCTGTGGTCAACAAGAGGTCTCTTCAGGCCAGTACCTGACGAGTTCTAGGGGACTGACTTTAAAGTGACATTATAAGGCCACTCTGACTTTTGCAGATGGCTTGTAACTAGGGTGACCATAGGTGTTGTCAGTTGGCCTGGAATAACCCCTGTTTATGGGTTGAGCAGTCCTAAATATGAAATACTTAAATCATAGGAGATAAATACTGAAATAACAAAATTTACGTATATATGAAAGAACGCTACTAACGGCACTCTCAGTATTCAGCTTGTGTAAAGTAAAATTCCTGCTTGCAGAAATGAAAGTTCAAGGGGCGCCTGGGTGGCTCAGTCAGTTAAACATCTGACTTCAACTCAGGTCATGATCTCGCAGTTCATGAGTTCGAGCCCCACATCGGGCTCTGTGCTGACAGCTTAGAGCCTGGAGCCTGCTTCGGATTCTGTGTCTCATCTCTCTGCCCCTCCCCTGCTCATGCGTGCGCTCTCTCTCGCTCTCTCTCTCTCTCTCTCTCTCAAAAATAAAAAATAAAATTTAAGAAAAAAAGACTAATACCTTCCTCTGGAAAACAGTTTTTATTATCAAGAGGCCTTTTTTGTCAGACCAGTACATGCTGGAAGGGTGATTTGTAAAACCAGGACTTGAGGTGATTTAGAAAGGAGTTTCGTGTGGCCGGTACGTGACCTTCAGTGGAGGGCCATATCAGATGGTTGGCTGTGTGAAGGCTGCTGACAGTCCACCTGGGGCCACCACCTCTGGACCATAGTGTCATACAGTCACCAAGAAGGTGTATGACCCAGCCAGTGAAGGTGCTTTCTCCTGTAAGGCCAGTTCACGTGGTGACAGGAACTAACAGAGAGGGTTAATGGGTAGAACAAACACTTTCCTGGTGCTCTAAAGAATCCATGGGCGATTTGTAAAACTAAAAGTCTGGGTTTCATCTGACCCTCAGACAAGGGCCTAGTGTGTTGGGAAGCAGTTCATGAGTCCACTTTGGAAGACTGTTTCATGGAGTAGGATGTGGCTCCTCCTCTAAAGGATGTTTGATACAGCAACTATTTAAAAGGCAAACTAAGGGGCCGAGAAGCCCGAAGAACCAGGCTGTAAGATTATTTAGAGAAGTAATGACCAGGCTGCCACCTCACCGTGGAAAGTTGCTTCTATCTGCCAACGTAAGGCCCTCTGGGAGACCAGTGGTTTGTTTTTTTATTTTTTTAGCATCCACAGCCAACATGGGGCTCACACTCACCACCCCAAGATCAAGAGCCACATGCTGTACCAACTGAGCCAGGAAGGCAGGCACCCCAGGGAGGCTGGTGTTACCAGATCAATCATGAGGCCCTTTGGGAGGCCATTCAAGTGGCTGTTATAGAGTCCAGCTGAAAAATCAAGACTGTCATACGGTGTCCACATAAGTATCTCTGAAGACTTTTGTAAAGCCGCTCCCCAAGAAGCTCTGGGTTAGACATTAACTCCTAAGGCTATATTATGTGGCTGAGAGGAGCCGTGTTTTGTACACGTCCCTCTCCCAGAAGGCTGTTTGTGTGGCCATTTGCACGAGGTCCTCTCCAAGGCCAGTTTGCAAAGCAACACGTGGGCTGCCTGAGGGGGCTGGTTTGTGGGGACCAAATGCAGGATGGCCTCAGGAGGCCACCTTGGGAAGCCACTGGCAAAGCTGCACACGATGCCCCCCGTGGCGGCTCGCTCTGTAAGGCCCACGTGAGCTCCCTGAGGGGCTGTTTTGTAAGGTCACCCTGAGGGGGCAGTTTACAGAGTCCGTAATCTGCATCCCAGGGAACCGGTTTACGGCCCATTTAAAATCCTCGGAGAAGTCGTGTTTAAGGCCACTGAGAGACCACTTTATCAAGCTGACACATACGGCCCCCAGCCAAAGCCACTTGTCTGGTCAGGCAAGTAAGTGGTCTTGTGGGAGGTTTATTAGAGACCTTTGTGAGAGGCCAGGATAGAGGTCTCTGAGGCCTGCTGGGTGCCCGAGACTTCTCGAGGCTGCTCTGTAAGACATGTGAGTCATTTTTGAGGAAATGAGCCACGAAGCCACCCAGGGAGGCCAGCTGACTGGTGCACATGCGGTGTTGTGTGTGGATAGCAGATAAGGCCACACGGGAAGGCTGGACCGTGAAGCTCCCCCAGGAAAGCTGTTAATGAGACCAACACAAGACCTTATGAATCTTCTAGGAGGCCAGAGATAGAAATTGTCCTGGCGGGTAAGGGCCATGCCACTCAAGGCGTTGGGGGCCATCATTCACTGGGCCGGTTGGAAAGGATACAAAGATCCAAAAACTGATATAACCCTCACCCCTGAAACCAAAGAGTGTTCTGGGTAGACACCGCCCCTTACTGTGCAGTTGCAGACAATTTGGACAAGTTGCTTAATCTTCCAGATCTTAACTTTGTTCATCTCTGTAAAACCTCACATCACGAGATTACAAGAAATACGTTAGATAATGGACGTAAACCACGGAGCGGCGACACAGTGCATAAGAAAGTCACTTCATTTTTTTTTTACCCTGGACTTTAGTTTCTTCCTCAGCAAAAGAGGGAGGGGTTGTAGGGAAAATGATGACATACGTCCCTATCCACTTGACAGTGTTGTGAGGTACAAATAAAATATGAGGGAGAGGAAAAGGGGACGGAACCGTGAAATGGGCAGTAGGGCCGGGGACAGTGGTACCTTCTTACTGTTGCTTTAGGCCCAGGAAGAGGTTCTTCGAAAATAATGACACACAAGGAAGATCGGCCCTTCCAGCTCTGGGAAGCGATGGGATTTTCTCATCTGTTGAGTGGGAATAATAATAATAATTCCTTCATTACAGAGTTTTGTTGAGGGTTAAGCAGCCCAGATTCCCAGCTTCATCCGTGCTGGCTGGAGACGGTGCAGCTCAGTTCCTTCGCCTACGAGATTGTGGAAGTAGGGGCCGGATAGCCTGAATGTCAAATCTCTTGTGTCCCCTCCTAGCCGAATGCTTGGGGCAAGTCATTTAACTGCTTTACTTTAGCTTCCTTATCTGTGAAATGGGGATGGTAATACTTTCTTAGAGTTTCCGTGAGAATTAAAACATGCTTAGGTTATCCTTGGCTTAAACACTTTGTATGTTTTCGGCTTCATCGGATCATGTGAGGTTTAATGAGGTAACAATGTAATACTGTCAGTATTCTGGCTGCTGTTATTCCTGAGTTGGCGAGAAATGAGTAACATAGGGCCCTATTGGGGTGGGGCTGTCCAGCCCATCTTCAGGGCCTGCATCGCTAGCATTCCTGTGTCTTCGCTCCCCTATCTGCTGCTGACTTCTTACTCCTTGTCACTAAAAGAAAGCGTGCTTTCTCCTCCCGTTCTTTTGTGTGAGTTACTGTTGAGGCCCAGGGTGTCAGGGAAATCTGAATAGGGGCGTTTATTGGTTATCTAGTGCTGTATGACAGACCACCATAAACTTAGTTGCCTAAAGCCACATACATTTATTATCTTAGATTCTTTGGGTCAAGAGTCTGTGGTGTGGCTTAGTTGGGCCCTCTGTGTCAGGATCTCACAAGACTCGAAGTATGGTGTCCATCAGGATGAAGTTCTTTTTTTTTATATATAAAGTTTTTTTAATGTTTATTTTTGAGACACAGAGAGACAGAGCTTGAGTGGGGGAGGGGCAGAGAGAGAGGGAATAGAACAGAATCTGAAGCAGGCTCCAGGCTCCGAGCGGACAGCACAGAGACCGACACGGGGCTCGGACCCACCAACTGTGAGATCATGACCTGAGCCGAAGTCGGCTGCCCAACCGAGCCACCCAGGCACCCCAGGAGGAAGCTCTTATCCAGAGGCTCAACCGGTCAAGGATCTAAACCCCTGTGGCTTGGAAGAACTCAGTTCCTGGAGCCTGTTGGATGGAGGGCCTCAGCTCCTAGCGTGCTGTTGGCTCTGAGCCGCTACCGCACACACACCAGGAAGGCAGTGGAGAGAGCTGGCTGGCAGTGGGGGCTTTGATCTCATCTAACCCGATCAAGGAGCATCCCATCACCTTTGCCATCTTAGCCACCCTTCCCCGCAAAGTCACACATATCAAACTTAAACACATTGGCTAGAAGCGAGTCATAACGGTTTCCTATTACTGCTGTAACAAATGACTGCAGACTTGGTGGCTTAAAACAGTACAAATTCGTTACCTTACAGCTCTGTAGATGAGACGTCCAGTATGGGGCAGATGGCTGAAATCAAGGTCTCGGCCGGGCAGCATTCCCCTTGGAAGCTCTATGGGAGAATCCATTTCCTGGCCCTTTCCCGCTTCCAGCGGCCACCCACATTCCTTGGTTTGTGACCCCCTCCATCATCTTCAAAGCCAACAATGCTGCATCTCTCTGGCCCTTCTGTTATCACCTCTCCCTCTGACTCTGTCTTTCGCCAGGAAGGGTTATCTCAAGGACTCCTGTTATTAAGTTGGACCCACCCACATAATGCAAGATAATCTTGCACATAATGGAAGATGATCTTCCATCTCAGGGTCCTTATTCTTCATGGCATTTGCAAAGGCCGTCATCCATCTACCACTTGAATTACAAGGCCTGCCCATGCTCAAGAGGAAGGAGTTAGATAAAGGCATTAGTCACAGGAGGCAGGGATCACTGGGGAGCTGTGGCTTTATTCCCTTTATGGGGAGTGAGGCACCTAAAAAGACTTTATCACAGGCAAGCCTTCCTCCTTGCCTTTCACCACCCCCCAGGGGATGCTGGTTATCAGTGACTTCTGTGGGTCAAGTTAGGTCCCTGACTACCAACCAAAGAAGCCAACCCTGACTAACAGAAGGAAGAAGACGTTTCTTGGAAGGCCACCAGGGCCACAGAAGGAATGGAAAGCTGGAGAATTACACTTTGAAACAAGCAAGAACGAAAGGGGCTCCATCACCTAGGGATCCGGTATGATGGTTGTGAGGCCCTAGAGGAACAGGGTGGTCCAGAAATGGCTGGTAGGAGACCAGGAAGGCCAGCCCTCTCCCATCCAATTAAGCTGCTCAAAGTTCACATTCAAGGGAGGCAGCTTAGAGTCAGTTGCCTTGCTTTGCACACATACCCACCCCACCCCACCCCATTCCCGGCCGCATTCCACCCGGCCGACCTCAGTGGGTGAGAGGGAACTCCTCCAAAGGAAGTGGGGGTGGGGGTGGGGGTGTTAAGAAAGAGAAAAGGATTCTGAGCCACAAAACTGAATACACTGCAATCCCTGTGTCTGCTTCTCCAGCAATAGAAGTTTCCGTGTCAGGGCAGGCTACATGATATAACACAGAGCAGCAGTGATTTAGCCGCTAAATGCAATACGAGATGTTTTTGGCTCATGAGGCATTCCAGCATGGGTGTATGTGCCCTGTTTTGTGGCTGCTGTGGCTCTGTCATCTAGGGCCGCAGAGCCCTTCGCTGGCAGCCAGCGGGTAGGGAGAGTGTGGAGAACCCTGCAGGAGGGAGGGGTGTGTGGGGCAGGGCTGGAAGTGGCTGCACCCCTTGCATTCACATCAGCCCGCAGCTGCCAGCATGCCCACATCCCACCGCAAGGAGGACCTGGAAATGTAGTCTGTGCCCAGGAAGAAGACACATGGATTTGGGTGAGCTTAAAGCAAGGGCTTGTTTTCGCAAATAAAGTTTTATTGGAACGCGGCCATGCACATTCATTTACATACTGCATGTGGCTGCTTTCACGCTACAGTGGCAGCATGGTGAGAGCAGTGACCAGTTGGCCTGCGAGACCTAAAATGGGCAATATCTGGCCCTTTACAGACAAGTCTGTTGACCCCCTATTTCTTAGCATCAGGGGGTAGCCAGGAGAGGTAATAGCTGTTAGTATCCTGGTGCACAGGTGAGCAATCAATGGTGAGCAGTTACAGACCCTCGAGAACCTCTTCGCCTGTCAGTACTTCCACGTTAGGACAGGCCTGCCGTCTGTGTGTGAGAGCACCAGCTATGATGCTTTTTCTTTCTGGGTAGGTTTTAGGTTCTCCTGGGCTTCTTCCTGGGAAGTTAAGATCTCAATTCCTTCGATAGCTTTAGTTGAGCGCCCACCGTGGGCCAGACTCTAGGCAAATGTAGAGAAATGAGACACGTTCTTGCCCTGGAGAAGCTCGCCAGCTCATACCGGGGAGACAGACATGGAAGCCATCCGAGTGTTGGCAGGCTTCCCGCAGGGGATCATTTAAGGTGGGCCTCGCAGGCTGGATAGGAGTTTGCCAGATAGGAGGGATGTTGGAGGCATTCCAGCTAAGGACATGTGACCCTCTGTGAATAAACATTGATCCTGTGCCCACGGTGAGCCTGGTCTTGTGCTGGACCCTGGGTGGCCCCAGGCAGACGAGGGCCCTGCCCTCACAGAGTTTATGTCCGCCAGCGAAGACCATTGTAGAATCATCTCACATGAGGCGTGTGTCACGGAGGACATGTATGGGAAGCTGTGGGAACCTGTAAGGGAGGAAGTCTGCATGATCTCTTTGCCGGAAGTAACTTTATATACGTTTCATTTTTATTTTTTATTTTTTTACTGCTTTCTAATTTTTTAATTCCTTTAATACTTTATTTTCATCATGATAAGTGTACTCTAATCCCATCTCCTATTTCCCCCATCCTGCCACTCCCCGCCCCTCCCCCGCAGTAAATATCAGCTTATCTGTTTGAGAGTTGTTTCTTGGTTTGTTTCACTCTCTCTCTTTTGTCCTTTGCTCATTTGCTTTGTTTCTTAAATTCCACATATGAGTGAAATCATATGGTGTTTGTCTTTCTCAGACTTAACTTCGCTTAACATAAGAGCCCATGGGCTCCATCCATGTTGTTGCAAATGGCAAGATTTCAATTTTTATGGCTGAGTAATATTCCAGAGAATGAATATATATATATATATATATATATATATAATCTTCTGTGTCCACTCATCAGTCGATGGATGCGTGAACTATTTCCATACTTTGGCTATTGTAGATAATGCTGCTATAAACATAGGGGTACCTGTATCCTTTTGTATTTTGGGGGTAAATACCCAGTAGTGCGATTACTGGACCATAGGCTAGTTCTGTTTATAACTTTTTGAGGAATCTCCATACTGTTCTCCAGAGTGCACCAGTTTGCATTCCGCCAGCAGTTTGCGAGGGTTTCTGTTTCTCCACATCCTCGCCAGCATCTCTTGTTTCTGGTGTTTTCGATTTAGCCATTCTGACAGGTGGGAGGGTGGAATCTCGTTGTGGTGTTTATTCGTATTTCCCTGACAATGAGTGATGCTGAGCATCTTTTCACGTGTCGGTTGGCCATCTGGATGTCTTCTCTGGAGAAGCCTGACTGTTTCTTAGCTAGCTTGTTTTTTGAGTGTTAAGTGGCACAAGTTCTTTATAGATATTGGATTGGGTACCAACCCAATAATTGGGTATGTCATTTGCAGATAACGTCTCCCATTCCATCAGTTGCCTCGTGAATATATATTTTAAAAATCTCAGTGGGTGACATTTGGGCCCCTGGATGTCATCACAGGTCTGGCTCCCCCCTCCCATCCCGGTTTGATTTCATGAAAATCTACAAACGTGTGTATTTGGGGGTGCGACATGCTGTTCTGATCCATGCTTTCTTCCCGCAGCGCCGCGGTGGGACTCGGCGGGCAGGGGCCCCATGGCCGAGGCCGAGCCGGAGCCCCAGGCGGGGGCCTGCGGCCTCCGGGAGGCCCTCAGAGCGCTCCTGCCCCGCACGGGAGAGGGGCTGGCGCTGCGGCTGGGGGACAGCGTGGAGCGCAGCGTGGCGCAGCTGCTGCGGGAGGCGGCGGCGCTGCTCCGCGGCGGCCGCGCGGCCGAGTGTCTGCAGGCCTGCGAGCCCATCCTGGACTACTCCTGGGAGAGGCTCAACGCGGGGCCCTGGAGGGACGTGCACCCCGACTGGCGCCGCGTCTACGCCTTCGGCTGCCTCCTGAAGGCCGTGTGTCTGTGCGAGGAGCCCGCGGACGCCAGCGCCGTGGCCGCAGCGCTGAGAGTCTGCGACATGGGCCTGCTGATGGGGGCGGCCATCTTCGGGGACATCCTCACCAAAGTGGCGGCCGTCCTGAAGGCGCACCTGCCCTCGGGGAAGAGGCCCGCCCCGGGCCCGGCCCAGGAGCCGCCCCGCGAGAAGGTATCTAGGGGGGATCTTCGCGGCCACACCTCACGTGCCCCAACGGCCCTGGTTCTCTAGAAGGAAGTGGGGGGGGGGGGGCAGGGGAGACCTCCCGGCAGGAAAATAGCGTCTCTGCCCATTTGGAAGTGGAGCCGCATGGTGTGATTTCTCAGTTCTTTCCCCAGTTTGTGCACAAGCAGTGCCCTTTCAGGAGAGGGGGAGGTGGACCCCCAGTGGCTCCTGAGAGCAGCCCACGCCTTCCGGCTTGTTCTTGTTGGCAGGTGGGAGCATCGCCCCCCCTTCCTGGCTGCCCCCTCCTCTGTGCCCCCTTGTCTGGGCCACAGGCCACATCCCACCGTCCCTGTTCCTGTGCCTGCTGGGCCCCGGCCCTGGTGCTGGCATGTGGCCCTCCGATGTTCAGTGCCTGAGGACTGTACCCTGCGGGGTGGGCTGCAGGCCCCCCTACTGTACCTCCAGGCATATCCACCCACAAGGAAGAAGCAGGTCTGTTAAACAGACATGTGGGAAAATGCCCGGCCTCACCTGAGCTAAAAAAAAAAAGAGAAGAGCAGTGGTGCCTGGGGGGCTCAGTCGGTTGGGTGTCCGACTTCGGCTCAGGTCATGATCTCATGGTTCGTGGGTTCGAGCCCCACATCGGGCTCTGTGCTGACAGCCCAGAGCCTGAAGCCTGCTTCAGATTCTGTGTCTCCCTCTTTCTGCCCCTCCCCCACTCATACTCTGTCTCTCAAAAATAAACGTGAAAAGAGAAATTTAAAAAAATGCCAGGAACAGCGAGGTAACCATTTTTGGTTATGACATTGACAGGAGGATTTATGCAGTACCAGGTGCTGCCTATAGGGTGCCATGGGGCCAAGGTCATGGTGCACGGGTTGACCTTTCAGAGGGCAGGGCAGACATGCAGACCACAAGGGGCAAATGCCTTTCCCCTTTGATGCAGGGGTTTCACTGTTCACTGCCCTTTCCCACGCCAAGTCTGTCCCAAAGGAACAGGGAGGTGGCCCTGGGTCCACGGTGGGGCTCACTGTGCGGGTGCGGGTGGTGTACGGCAGTGCATGTGGCCGAGTGGTGAGAGCTCAGGTCTGGAGTCCCCTGCCAGTCACATTCCCCCAGCTCCTTCTCCCGCCTGTGCAGCAGGCAGGCGTCCTGGCCCTGGGTGCCGCTGTGTTCCCATGCCTGGAAGGGGGGTTTGCTCGGCAGCACCAGCAGTGGCCGTACTGGGCACCGAGGATGCAAAACGTACCAAAGGGCCTGTGCTCCTGGAGCCTGGACTAGGGAGGCAGTTACAGAATGTCTTCTCCGCACGGTGGCAAAGGTCGGGCTCACACACAAGTAGTGGGGGGCCGAGACACCCCCGCCAGCGATCCTGGGCACTTCACATGTGACAGCTAGTCTCCGGATAATAGAGAGGAAGCTGAGGCCCGGAGACAGTCATCTGCTCAGGGCACTCCATTGGGAGGTGGTTGGGGAAATTCTGGCACAGCTGCTCAGAAGATATCGCGGGGACTGAGTGGCAACACAGGAACGTGGGTTATTTCTCCTGCGTATTCCTGCCAGGGGGTCAGCGGTCTTCTCCTCGTGGGTGACAGGATGGGCGAGGAATACGTAGTAATGACGAAGAGTACTTTGCCGTCAGATGGCATCTGGGGTAGTAACGTCACCTCCCATGCGGAGTTTCTGTGAAAGCCGTACGTTCCTTTTATAATCAAACAGATGCTTTACCTAGTCTTTGTTTTTTAATGTTTATTTATTTTTGTGAGAGAGCGTGCAAGCAGGGGAGGGACAGAGAAGGAGGGAAAGAATCCCAAGTGGAGCCCAACGCAGGGCTCAACCTCACAAAACCATGAGATTGTGACCTGAGCCAAAACCAAGAGTCGGATGTTCAAACCAGCTGAGCCACCCAGGCATCCTGGAACAGACGTTTTAACTGATCTGGTAAAGAAAAACATCTTGATATCACCAGGAATAAATAGCAGTAGCAGCAGCAGCGGTAACAATGATAATAAATGTTAACCGTTCCTATTTGTGATGCCCAAGCTAGCCTCAAATGTTAACTTTTCTGTGCTTGCCGCCATCTTGTTTTGCTTTTCAACAGAAAGCGAGGACCCACGGTGTTTGGATTCCAGACATGTCGTCAGAGAGAATGGTGCCCCGGCTCCGCTGTCCATCCCTCCAGCATTTCAGGAAGCATTTTCTGGCTCCAGGGAGGCCTGTGGTCCTGGAAGGCGTGGTGGACCAGTGGCCGTGCATGCAGAAGTGGAGGTGGGTGGCCGTGAGGGCCGGGAAATGCAGCCTCGCACACGCTCCCCGACCGGCCCCTGCGGGGGCTGCCGAGGTGGAACAAGAAGACGGGGCTCCAGGTTCACGCAGAGGCCGGGAGACCCGTGCCCTCCTCGGCTGGCCGGCCCGGAGCGGCTGTTGCAGTGGGCACTTACGCGGCAGTGCAGCCTTGAGTGTGCTCGGGCCATCGTGCAGGATGTGAGCAGCTCCGTGGGCCTTGTCAGGGGCCCGGAGGCTTAAAAGCAGAAGTAAGAACCCAAGACACGTCCCCTCCCTCCTGGGGGGCTCCTGGGCTTGTTCCCTCCTCACACCTGCTTCTGGCCCTCCTCCCCTACCCATTCATGGTTGTGAGGGCGGCTCAGGCCGCTGGCCGGGGGCCCTGATGCCTGTGGAAATGAGCAGCAGGGGTCTCTGAGGACGGGTGACCGGGTCACTGTGTCTGCGGTCCGTGGCGGGGGTGCTCCCGCCGGGGGTGTGTGAAGAGCTCGGGCCGCGGGGGTGCTGGGCCCCGCGCCGGCCGCCAGGGGCGAGAGCACTTGCCGGGTTTGCTCTCTCTCTGTCGGCCCTGGCTCCCGTGGGACGGTAGTGCCATCGCCCCGGTCCACACACGGGGCCGAGGGCTTCGAAAGGGTGAGCAACTTGCCGGAGGGCCCGGCGTTCGGGTCGCAGGCCGGTCGCACCCCCAACCCCGGCCGCCTGGAAGGTCTGCCGTTTGCCCCGGGAAGGCCTCCCAGCCTAGAGAGCAGTTGAGCCGAGAGCCAGCCGGGCGTCCCGGCCCCCAGGATCGCTCTGCGCAGCCGCGGGGCGCCGGTGGCCACGGAAGCCCGCGTGCCCGCGCCCCACGCGCTCGCCAGCGCCGTGGGGAGACGGCCCCTCCCCGCGAGGCTCCGTGAAGACAGGAGGGGCCCGGCGAGGCTCGGCGCGAAGGTGACGGCGACCGCCCGCGTCTCTCCCAGCGTGGCGTACATCCAGGACGTCGCCGGCTGCCGGACTGTCCCCGTGGAGGTTGGCTCCAGGTACACCGACGAGGAGTGGTCCCAGACGCTCATGACGGTCAGCGAGTTCGTCAGCAAGTACATCAGGGATGAGGTACGACGCCGCGCCTCCGTCCGCGGTGCTCACGCGGGGAGGACACGCCGCCCCCGGGCGCTGCAGGGCGGCCTGTGGGAGGCGCCCCCGAGCCCGCGGCCGGAAGGCGGGTGGGCGGAGCCGCTGGGGCACGACGCCACCCGTTTCAGCGCCCTCTATTTTATTTTGGGTAGTACAATTCAGTGGATTTTTAGTGTATTTGTAAGGTTTTGCAGCCATCACCAGTGTCTCATTCCAGAACATTCTCATCACTCCCAAAGAAACCCCGTGGCCATTAGCAGTCATTTCCCCTTCCGCCCTCCCATCCGGTCCGCAAATAGCCCCTCGCCTGCTTCCTGTTTCTGCGGGTTTCCCAATTCTGGACGTTTCACACAAACGGAATCGTGTTGAATGTGGGCGCCTGGGGCCGCTTCCGCTCGCCACGGTGCTGTCCGGGTTCATCACGCTGTCGCCCGCTGTCGGTCCTTGGTCCCCGGGGGTGCCCAGGACCCTTCCCTCGCGTAGAGACCCCACGCTCTGTTCCTGCGTCGGCTGCCAGCGCTCGGGCTGTACACGCTTGGGCTGGCGTGCAAGACGCCGCCGTGAACGTTCACGTACAGATGTTCGTGTGGACGTGTGTTTTCATTTCCCCCGGGTGCGTGCGGATGCGGGACTGCCGGGTCCCGTAGTGACTCCACGTGTAACCATTTCCCAGCAGCTGCCAGACTGTTCTAGAAAGCAGCCGCCCCGTTTTACCCTTTCAGATTCTTACCAGTGAGGGCAGTGGGCGGTTTCCCCTTCCCACACCCAAGGCAGCCCCGGGCCCAGCCCCTGTGAGTTCCGATCCGGTTTCCTCGTGGGTCTGCCACAGCCACAGGCCCAGGTGGTGACCGTGCTGGCCGACAGCCTCTCCCACTGGCCTGTGTTGTAACTGTGAGCTCCTGAGGGACCCCTAGAGCACCTCCCGCCCCGCACATTACCCTTCCTGACCCCATCACTTCTCCTAGGTGGCCGGCCTCCTCTGCCAGCACCTGGTGCCGTGCTCGGGGCCGCGGCCTGTTCATCTCCATGTACCCCGCCTTCCACGCCCACCCCAGCTCTGTCCCTTGTCACCTGGGGGCCTGGCGAAGGGAGCTGGGCACAAGAGCACGCAATGCTGCTGTGCCCGCCTGTGTCCGCTGCAGAGGTCTCCCTCGGTCTCCCTGTGCCGGGAAGAGGCCTGGTGGCTGGGGTGGAGGGCAGACCCAGAGGTGCGGTTTGCCAGCTGGGCAGGAGGGTGGGCTCCGCGCTGAGGCAGCAGAGCACTCACTCCAGCGCCATCTTGCCGGCGGGGCGCCCCGGGATGCTGGCTCATCCTCTCGGTCGTCAGTGCCCTGACCGGGATCAGGTAGAGGTTGCTAATGCCTACTTCATGGGGTCGTGGCGAGACTCAAACACAGAAAGCTGGAGGTGCCGCATGGTCAGTGCCCGGTTAGGTGAAGTTAGTGTCCCTGGGCCACGGTATCCATGGCAGCAGAGGCCCTGTCAGATCCGGCTATGCCCACCTCGCAGCCCTGGGGCTGGCATGTTGTCACTTCCGTAGTGTGAGGAAGACCCGGGAATGAGGGAGAGGGCCGGAAGCTCAGTCTCCGGGGATTCGGCAGAGGAGCCTTCCTCCCCTTCAGCACGGTTTGAGCAGCCGACTCTGCCCTGGCTGCTGTGGGGAGAGTGGCAGCCATCCCCCCACCCAAACCCCATGTGCTCCGCCCCCACCGGCCCTTCCAGAGCCCCAGACAGGAAGGCCTTCCTCCCAGGAAGCCCTTTGAGCCTGGCGGAGCCCAGTTTGGAGAGCATGGATCTTCTCATTCAGCGCAGGCCAGCGTGGAGGAAATGGGCACTGACAGCTTTGCTGGGAAGCCCAGACAGTCCCCAGTTCACTTTGGGGAGCAGAACCTGGCAGAAGCTGTTAGAATTTAAAATGCTCACGCTCCTTGACTCGGTCGTTTTGCCTTTGGGAGAACGTACATATAAGGAAGGCCCAGAACATTTGGCTGTTGATGGAAACGCCGGGAAAACACCCTGAATGTCCGCCAGCAGGAGTAGCTCAGTTAACAACGATGCGTCCTGTCTATAAAACAGGGGCCCGTGAAAAGAACAAGGCGCCTATGTCCATACTCATCTGAAGAGATAGTCGTGATGTTGTCCTTAAGTGAAAAAAAATTTTTTTTTCAGACTAATACATATGGTGTAATTCCATCTTCATTTATAAAAAATTCTCCTCTATGTGCAGCCTCTTCATTTTCATGGCTGGAAACTGAGTCCTGGAGCAGCCCTTACAGAGGTGGCCCCAGGTCTGAGTCTCCCCCAGGCCCAGCCCTGCCCCAGAGGGAGAGCGTCACATCCACCCCCAGGTCACCGAGGGGACCAAGGGATGGAATGGAGGGTGCATGCCAGGTGGCTGCCTGGGGCCAGGTGCACCCTGGGGCCAAGAGGCCGCTAATAGTTGCACCCGAGGGTGTCCCTCATGACTAACGAGCTCTCTGTGTCGCTTCTGGTTTTTCTCCTGCGGATTAGCCGAGGGACATCGGGTACCTGGCGCAGCACCAGCTCTTTGACCAGGTAAGTCTGAGCCCCCCGCACCTCTGTCTTTTCCGCCCTCACCTTGTTCCACCTCCCTTCCTGAGCTCTGAGCCCACAAGGCAGGAAAGGGCGTGATAGCCTCATGCCACCCCCGCTGGTGAGCGGGGAGATCCTTGTGTGGCACCTGCGTCCTCTCCAGCGGTGCCCTCTCCAGCCCTGGGCCAAGGAGAGCAGACAAAGCTGCCGGGTGGCCAGCGAGAGCCTGGGCGAGCCGACCCCGGGGCCCTAGGAAGGGGGTGGCCCCAGCGGGTGGAGCCGGAAGTCTGAGCAGGTGTGGTCAGACCTGAGGAATCGGCCCTGGGGGGCCAAGAGAGGGTGGCAGGCTCCAACCTGACCCACAGAGAGCAGGGCGCTGGCTTCCTTGACTGTGGGTCCCCGCGCCATCCTTGCCCAGTGTCAGCTGTCTGCTCACGAGGCCGTCTCCCTGAGCGGGGCCTCCGTGCTCCCCATGGGGGCTGGGTTCAGATCCTGTGGGTCCCCAGCCCCGGCATGGCCAGATTGAAGACCCTCAGGACAGACTGGTTGAAGGCTGAGAACGGAGGGGTCTCGGGCTGGGGCAGAGAGAGGGAGCAGGGCCCGGCCAGGCTGGAGGCAGGACGTTCAGAGAGGGGTGCCTTGTGCACTGAGACGGGGGGTGCACCTGGAGCGGCCCCAAGTGCCAGCCGCATCTATTCGCTTGCCTGGGAGGGTTCGTTCAGAAGAACAGAGCAAGAAGGTGAAGAGGGAGGCCAGGGCCCAACTGGGAGAGCCTTGAAGGCCAGACCAAGAAACTTGGATCTGTGTGCAAGGCAGCGGGGGGCCCTGGGAGGTCTCTGAGCAGGAGGGTCCCAGTAGGAGGAGGTGTTCCGGGGAGATCTCTCAGGAGAGCCAGCATAGCTTGAGGGAGAGGGCCGGGGGTAGAGGGCTGCGCCAGCTCTCTCCTTCACCAGGCACCAGTCAGCCCTGAGAAGGGGGCCTCACGGGGGGGCCCCAGCAGCCTCCGGGAGCTGACAGAGATGCAGGATTGCTTGGGCCCTGCCGGGTAGTGTGCCCCGCAAGCGGCCGTCACCCAGCGCCCTGGGCACACGATGACGCCAGGCTTGCTCGTGAAGCAGCCACGGGCCCTCGGGGGCTGCTTGGCTGGTGCGAAGTGAGAAAGTGGTCCCGTCACACGGAGGGGTCCCTGCTCTGGTAAGGACAAGAAGAAGGGGATCCGACGAGTAACAGCGATCCGCGGGTGGGAAGACCGGGAGTGGGTTTTCCTTTCCTTCTCTGCAGTTTGCAGGGCGTCTATAATCAGGGTGTGTAATCATCACCGTGAGAGAAAATAGACCATTTTTAAATGCAGACACAACAAGGGAACAAAGAGAAGTGGAATCCGATTGTGTCCTGAATTTGCAAAGCTGTCTAGTTAGGCTGGACCCATCTGAAGGCTTATCCTGGGGATCACTGAACCGTTGGCCTGTTCCACCCCCTTCCCCGCCGCTCACTTCACTCTGCCCATGGAAGCGGGTGGGCAGGGGCCTGAACGCTTCCTCATCAGCCCCTCTGGGCCCCGCCCTGGGGGTACAGGATAAAGAAGAGTCGCTCCCCTGTCCCAGTGGACTCGAAATCCAAGTATATGAGATGGTGAGGAGACCCTCAGGGAGAAGATGGGAGCCGGACCCGGGGGGTGGGGGCGGGGGGACTCGGGTGGCCGATATTTTGCCCCCTTTTGCTCCTGCTGTTTGTCGTCTTAACTTTGAGTGTCAGGAGTTCTCCATATATGTTCTGGATATAAGTAGCCGTCCCCTGTAAGCACTGTATTTCATCCCGGACCGTAAACTCACCACTTCATTTTCTTCTTTTGTCTAAAAGGAGCCAGGAGGGGGGCATGGCCGCCAGGAGAGCCATGGGAGTGGATCCCCCTCCCGGGGCAGAAGTGTCCGGCGTGGCTGAGCCCAGTGCATGGCGGGGAGGGAGGCCGCAGGTGGGGCTGAGCCAGAGGGCAGGGCAGGAAGAGGAGGGACGGTCGTCTGCAAGTGACGGGCAGCGTGGGAGGCTTGGGAGTGTCTCCCGGAGAGGGACCGAAGGCGGCCCGATGTGGAAGCCAGGAGACCCTGCAAGGGAGGGGGGGGACTGGTGCCCATGGCAGGCGACAGGTATAAGACAGGTGCCAACTGCTGGTGGCTGGACGCAGGTGGCTGGCCGGGGTTGAGGGAAAGGGAGCAGCCAAGGAAAACTCTAGAATTGAGACCCCAGCGATTGTTTGGTGGACTTTGCTGGTGTCTCAGCCAGAGGCACCATGGTGGGGCTGGGGCAGCTCTCACTGCCTGTCCCGCCGGGGGTCCCAGGCCCTGCTGGGGCCGTGCCAGCCTCCAGGAGCTGGTGCACCCAAAAGTAAAGAGGCTGCAGCGGGTGGGGGCTGGGTGGGCTCTGGTCTCTTGCCCAGGTCTCCCGAATTAGGACTGATAGACCCTGTCTCCTGTCCTCCCTTGCTTAATGAAGGAGAGGGGAGACCAAGTGGTCAGGGCTCTACTGTGCGGTCCCGAGAGACCAGCCTGTCCCCTGACCCCAGTCACACCTCCCAGGGGGACCCGAGAAGCGACAGGTAAACTTGGCTTCTTGTCCTGGAGCAGCCATTTTCTACTTTTCTAGAACAAGAGGAAGCAGTTTTAGAAGTAGAAGGTAGGGGTGCTGGGTGGCTCAGTTGGTTGAGCCTCCGACTCTTTTTCGTTTAATTTTTTTTTAACATTTATTTTTGAGAGAGAGAGAGAGAAGGAGACACAGAATCCGAAGCAGGCTCCAGGCTCTGGGCGGTTAGCACAGATCCCTACACGGGGTCAAACTCACAGACTGTGAGACTATTACCTGAGCTGAAGTCGGACACAACCCACGGAGCCACCCAGGTGCCTCAAGCCTCTAACTCTTGATTTCAGCTCAGGTCGTGATCCCAGGGTCATGGGATCAAGCCCCAAGTTGCGCTCCGCACTGAGCGTGGAGCCTGCCTGAGAGTCTCTCTCTCCCTCCGTCCCTTCCCCACGCACATGCACTCTAAGTAGAAGGCAGAGTGTCCGATTGTTTTTAAGACAAACCTTGAAGACACAGTGCTTTCTGGAGGGCCCCCTGGCAGGCCCTGCACTGCTTTCTGGGACCTTCTCTGCCTTCACGAAGCTCAGTGGCACCCACCTGAACCTCTTGCCCAAAAACCTCTTAACTCACTTTTCTCCCAGGGACCCCACATTCTAGATTTTGGCCGCCATGCTGGGCCTCCCTTTAATTACCGGTCACATCCTGGGATCATTCCTTCTCTTGGGGTGGAGGAGGGGGGGTGTCTCTGTATGCAGTGGCTCTGATTACACCATCTGATCAGCCAGTCCCATTTCAGAAATCCCAACGGTGTCATCAGGACTGGACGGCCTCTCCGCATTCCACAGGGCCGGGGTCTGGTGTCGTCCCTGCTGGAAGCAGCTGGGCGGCGGGACAGCCTGGTGGCGGAGAAGCAGGGGGCTCCCAAAGTCTGTTGGGGACCCCTCTCATCCCCCCCACCCCTCTGGCCAAGAGGACAGGGGCCCTCAGATCAGTGGACAGGGCAGCACATCTCTTCATAGGCTGCCGCAGGGAGAACATTCCAGCCCTTCCTAAGGATGGTGGCCCCTTAGCAACCTCAACTTGGAGCGGCTGCTACTGAAAGAATAGTCTGCCTGCAGCTGCCCCTTTGACCCGAGAGATGTTACCCTGGAAATACCCCAAAGAAAGTAGCAGAGGGGTCCCCCTGCCCCCCATGAGGGCCCAGACTCCAGTTTCTATGGAATTCCTCCAAAGCCTCCCAGCCGTTTGCCCCCACAGTGGAGGTTTGGGCTGTGTGGGAACGCACCAGCGCCGGATGGCGAGGAGACCACTCACCGGCCAGGCCTTCAGGAGGCATGTCCGGGGCTGAACTCACCAGAGCTGGCCCGGGGCCTCCTCCCTCAGGCCGTGTGGACCCCTCGCCAGCTCTGAGCTGGGGCGCCGGGGCCGGCTCTGCTGGGCTCCGAAGGCCTGGCCGCGGAGCGGGGTGGTTGCAGGGGGGACAGGGTGCTCGCTGTTAGAGAGCACATCTCGTCAGACACGGGCACGGTCACAGTGGCAGTGGGGGCGGGGGCGCCCACAGCACCCGACCTCACAGCCTCCGTGAGGACCCCGGCCTGTCTGCATGGAGGTGCACTGCTCAAGCTCACAGCCGGCTGGGTCCGAGACCACACACTGTGAGGCCTGGCCCATCCCCACGTCATGGTCTCGGCCTCGCCAGCAGCCCTGCACAGCCCCCTTCCCACGCCCTTCCCGCCCGTGGGCCGCCGCACCGCCTCAGCCTGCCCATTAGATGAGTGGGAGGTGATGGCACCACGGATGTTTCATTCAGATCTCCTCCCTAATGGGCCTGAACCCTCCCTTGTGTCTAATTCATTTCTGTGCAGAATCTGGGCTTTGCCCTTCGATTATTTGTGTAGTCGTGTATTAGTGGTCTTGTTATTTTTCCTTTTTATTTTGTACAAGCTCTCTAACCCTCATTTACCACAGTTCAAAAGTTTCCCACTTTCGCGGCCTTTATGTTAATTAACATTTAAAATGTATGTCTTATGATTGCTTTATCATTAGTCAATTTTGGCAAATCTTCCTCTCCAGAGAGGTGATAAATCCTCAACCCCATTTTCTTTTTTGTTTTTCTTTAATTTGATTTTCAAAAAGAATGCACTCTTCAGAAAATTACAAGCTGCTTTAATATTTTTATTTATTTTTTGAGAAAGCCTGCATGCGCAGGTGAGCAGGGGAGGGACAGAGAGGGGCACAGAATCTGAAGCAGGCTCCGGCTTCTGCACCATAAGTGCAGAGCCCGATGGAGGGTTCCAGTCATGAACCGTGAGACCATGACCTGAGCCAAGGTCAGACGCTTAACCCACCGAGCCACTAGACACCCCTATTTATTTTTTTATCTTTATTTATTTTGAGAGAGAGCACGAGCTGGGGAGGGAAAGAGTGTCCCAAGCAGGCTCCACGCTATCAGCACAGACGGGGGGCTCAAAGCCATGAACCCGTGAGATCATGACTGGAGCCAGAATTAAGAGTCGGACAGTTAGCTGAGCCACGCCAGTGCCCTGAGCTGGGTCAAGTGCAGAGCGGTGCTATCAGAGTTTTCAGAAAGAAAATGAAGATGTCTGTGACAGGAACATACCTGAAAACAAAATAACTCTTCCCTGATTAACCTGTGTATCCACTTTTTCAGTTGGGTTTTAAATCCCCGTAGCGGGAAGTGCGGACCCAATCTGTTAGTACCGAGAGAGGCACTGTGCGCTGGGCCCCGCCGACTCCCAGGCTGCTGCGTCCCCGGCCCGGACTCGGCGGCCCACGTCCACTCTGACACCCGCAGATCCCGGAGCTGAAGCAGGACATCAGCATCCCCGACTACTGCTGCCTGGGCGACAGGGATGAAGAGGAGATCACCATCAACGCCTGGTTTGGTCCCCAGGGAACCGTGTCTCCACTCCATCAGGACCCGCAGCAGAACTTCCTGGTCCAGGTTGGAGTCGCCCCAGCCCCGCCCTGCACGGCCGGCCGCGCTCTCCGTGCCCACACGCCAGGGAGACGGATGTGGCAGAAGTGAACTGGAGAGACCGTCCCAGGGCCCCCGTGGGGCCCCCCTCCGGGTGGGGCTGTTTCCACACGTGGGTTCCTGACCAGGAAGGAGCCTCAGGGGTCCCGGCCGCGTCACTTGGGCAGAGCAGGGCTGGGCGGCGTCTCTGGCCTGACGGAGTGCCCGTCCTCCGCCTCCCCCTGCACGCCGTGCGTCAAAACCCGGCCAGCGCCTCTGTCCAAGTGACAGGCGTCCCAGCCACTGTGTCCTGAGACCCAGGCAGACGAGCGTGTGTTTCCTGCAAGAGGAGGGGCATCTGTTGTCAAACCACCTTATTTGTTCTAGGCAGAGAGGTTTAGCAAACGAGAACATTCTTCTGGCCTGGAGGTCATGCCCAGAGGTGCTAAAGAGGCTGGGAGCAGGGGCCCAGAAGCCGGACTGCTTGCCATCAATGCCAGCCCTGCCACCTATTAGCTGGGCGAACCTGGGCCACTCGGCTTGCCTCCCTGTGCCTCAGTTTCCCTATCTGTGAAATGGGGGTGACGCTGAACCATCAGAGAGGGTTGTGGGGGTTCAACAAGTGAATACAGCAGAGCAGGTGGAGGGGGGCTGGCGCGGGCCAGTGCCTAGTTATCATCAGCTGCAGTCACTGAGTTACTGATGCATAATCTGTCTGGAGGCGACACCTATACCTGGCCCGGAGCGCGCCCGGTGGGGATGGGGCAGTGGGCACAGGGAACAGCATATGGAAAGGCGTGGAGAGGTTCGGGAGGGTGGCGGGTCCAGGGACCTGTGGTCGGTGAGGGGTGGCCACTGTCTGAGCAGGCCCTGTCTTCCAGGTGATGGGCAGGAAGTACATCCGCCTGTATTCGCCACAGGAGTCAGAGGCTTTATACCCACACGACACGCATCTTCTTCATAACACGAGCCAGGTGGGTACCCAGGGCCCCTGGGGGACACCACAGGTTCTCCCCTCCCCGCCTGGCTCCAGAGGCCGGGCAAGCGACAGCCTGTTTTCTTCAGGTGGACGTGGAGAACCCCGACTTGGAGAAGTTCCCCAAGTTCGCCGAGGCCCCCTTCCTGTCCTGCGTCCTGTCCCCCGGAGAGATGCTGTTTATCCCGGTTAAATACTGGCACTATGTGAGGGCGCTGGACCTGAGCTTCTCCGTCAGCTTCTGGTGGTCGTAGCCGGGGCGGGAGGGTCTGAGATGCCTGCACAGTCGTGGGCTCCTGCGTCCCCTGCTCCTCGCCTGGCCTGGTGCGGGCTCCCAGCATCTAGAAAAAGGCCAGACCCGCCCGCGCCGAAGCTTTCGCTGGGGACCAGGCTGGGTGCCGGGCAGACACGGCGCAGGCCCCCAGCAAGGTGTGTGTTCCCCGCCAGAGGGGCGCGGCAGAGGCCGGAGGGCACGACCCTGGAAGGACGCTCGAAGCCGCCAAGGCGCCATGGAGTCCGCGGGCATCGTAAAGCCTGAAGTGGTTGGGGCTCGGGCAGGCAGTGTGGGCAGCGGTAGAGGGCGGGCTGTGGGGCCGGCTGGCTGCCTGGATTCAAACCCGGCCCTGTGGCTCAGCCACCGTGTAAGCCTTGGGGCCGAGACTTCGTGGGTGTGTCTCCATCTGGGAAACAGAGTTGGAGGGGCTGTGCGTGCACAGGGCCCCTGCGGGTCCGTGACCGTTAGCGGCTGTGTGACCGTTAGTGGCTGTCTGACCTTAATAATCGCTAGGATTGCTACCCACTCGTGTGTCGTGACTGTGCCCAACCGGTCAGCCCGCAGCCGTGGACCGGAGACGCAGTGGACTTACCGGCTCACTCAGCTCACGCCTGCCGGCAGCGGGCAATCCAGACAGTTTCAGTGGTCCCTACGAGGCCTGACCCACCTTCCCGGAAGTGCCTGCATGTCCCAGCCTGCCGGCTTTCCCAGAGACAGCCATGCGGAGCTCGCAGAAGCCCCTCCTGCCCTCCCCTCATCCGTTCTCCTGCAGAGCCTTCCGCCCGGGGCAGCGCCGGGGCCCACAGCCTCCGAGGCCTCGGGGAAGCTTCAGGCAGGCTGGGGACCACCGAGAGGCAGTTCCTGGAGCCGGCGCCTGGCTAACACACCCCGTAGGTGACCGGGGATGGGGACGAGGCACTGGAACGCGAGCCGCTGGAGTACCAGGCCAGGGTACTGGGCTTTATCGCAAAGGTCTGGGGGCTCCGGAGTTGTGCACAGGAAGACCACCAGAGTATGCACGGAGCCGGGAACTGGTGGGAGAGAGTGGGTATGGGGGTGGGGTACAGCCCTGGGCACGAAGGGCAGAGGCAAAGAGGGGCTACTTAGGAAGTGAAATCAAGGGCTCCGCGGAGACTGCTTGTTCCTGCATCTGGTATTAATGGTTGTTTGCCAAATTCTGCAGATGAATTTATACCAAACGTCAAAGGAATCGAGGCAGAAAATAGGGCTGCCGCGGCATCTGGCTTGCTGGTGGTCCGGAGGAACGGCGTGGCCCCTCCTGCGTCACACACCCCTCCCCACCCAGGGGTGGCCGTGTGGCTCCCGCCTCTCCTGCCCGTGGTTTCCCCGGCCCTGCATTTCTGTTCCAAGCTGCCGCTGAGGAGCAGAGGCCTGTCTGTAACGCACTGATTCTGCAGTTAGGGACGAGAGGACGCGGGCGTTAGAATATGATGCGGACCCCGGCCACCTGCAGCCGCCGTCCCTTGTCCGGTGGGAAGACGCAGAGGAGGAAACGTTCGCACGCTCTCCGGGCAGGGCTCCCGTGCTCCTGCGGCACCGGCTGCAGCTCCGGGGAGCGTGCACCAAAGTCCGCAAGGAGTAAGGGTGCTCGCCAGCTGCCGGCAGAGCTAAGGGGCCGCCACGAGGCCGCCATCACCCACCCACCCAAGATGCAGCGGCCCTGCGCCGGCACGCGTGGTCTCCAGCCTGCAGGGGGGCACCATGCAGCCGCACCACCGCCTTACACCGCTCAGGCAGGCTGCACGCTGAGCCGCAGGGGGCGTCTGGGCAGGATCCCCCCTCCCCCAGGTCCAGGGCGGGCTGGCCAGCTCCCATGGGACAAGAGCCCCAAGCTGGGCTGGGGCAGAGGCACCCCAGAGGGTTTCTGCAGGAGGCGCTCTGCCAGCTCCAGCGTCCAGAACGCGGGCCCAGCTCTCAGGTCTTGGGGGCCCAGGAAGGGACGGCCCGCAACATGGAGCCTTCTCCGGGGACGCACGACCACAGACCGAGGCCGCAGCCACGACTCATTAGCAACTTTTATTCCAAACCTGCTAACGAGCGAGCACAAAGCAGAAAGGGGAGGAGGGTGCCACGCGAGATGCCGACGCCTCTCTCCCAGACGGGACGCATCCGCGGGCCCCGGAAGGCAGCGCGCCAGCTAGTGCTGCCTGGACCGCAAGGGCTTTTTGTTCGGCTTGGAGGTGCTGGCCTCCCGCTCCTTGTCCGGGTTGAAGACTTCTGTATACGGAAAAAGCCAGAACATACTGTGAGCAGGGCGGGCCGCGTCCTGGGTCGTCCCTGCTGACCCCACACCGCAGCCAGGGAGAGGGGTCCGCCAGGGGGCACCGCCTTCACCTCCAGTCTCAACGCAGCTGCCAGAGAGGCGGTGGAGAGGTGGTATCTAGACTGACCCGACCCTCATGCACGGGGTGGGGGGTGGGGGGTTGTGTCTAGGCTCGACCCTCATGAGCTGGGGGTTTCCACTGGGTTCTAAGAGCCCCTGGAAGTATGTGGGAGCACAGGCCTCTGCCTGCTGCGGGAGGGCCTTGCACTTGAGGGCTAGGGGGCCCCAACAGACCCACGCATGCGCAGCCCTCATCTGGGGGCTCCTCACCCCTGGGGGTCCCCCTCAGCCCCGCCCCCGAGCGCCTGAGGGCCACAAACCTGGTATCTCGTGGGGCCAGTAGTCGTTACAGTGGGGGCAGCGCGGCTCCGGATTGGACCGGAAGTACTTGGCCACGCAAGGCAAATGCATCCTGATGCCGCAGGTCTCGCAGCTCTGGCCCTGAAACCAGAAGGGCGAGGCTCAGGAGCCCCGCACACCCCATGTGCACAAGCCCTCGGCGGCTGGGACGAGGGCGGCCGGCAGGCTCCATGGTGGTGTCTTCCTAGCCCCAGACGATGATGACCCCAAAGCTCTCGGCGCCGGGGCTCCTAGGAATTCTCCCAGCAACGCAGGTGGAAGACGCTGCCAACCCTGCGGGCCGCCTCGGGGACGCCCTCGCACCTACAGCTTTGCGGGTGTGGGTCGGAGACTTTAAGAAAACACGTGCAGGCACCTGGGCGGCTCAGTTGGTTAGGCGTCTGTCTCCTGGTTTTGACTCAGGTCATGATTTCACAGTTCGTGGGTTCAAGCCTTGCATCAGACTCCCTTCTGACAGTGCAGCATCTGCTTGGGATTCTCCCTCTCCCCCCCCCCCCCCCCCCCCCCCCCCCCCCCCCCCTGTCTGTCTCACTCTCAAAATAAATAAAACTTAAAAAAAAACAAATTGTGTGCACTGTTCCAGAAATTCACCTCCAGGACCGCAGCCCAAGGAAGCAGTCCCAGGCGCCCCGGCCCGCGCACGCACAGAGGCTCATGGAGCATGGCTGACGGCTGTGGGAAGGGGGAGAAGGGAGGAAGGAGCCCTAGCCGTGCAGATGATGCGAAACAGAACAGTGTGCAACACGGGGGACGCCAGCCACGCCACTGCCACGGTGACACCAGGCTTCTGACAGCCTTTATGAGAAAATAAGATAAAAAGCCGCCGGACTCGAACAGGGGGACCCGGGAGGAGAGGAGAGAAGGTGGGCACTGTCGTCGTCGTGCTGAGACGCTTCGGCTGTGCCCGTGTGCTGGTGCCAGGGGAGGGCAGCGCAGGAGACGCTCGGGGCACGTACCTGGATGAGGAGGCTGTGGCAGATGTTGCAGATCTTCACAGCGTCGGGGTATGTCTCCCGGATGTACTGCTCCATCTCCAGGATGGCCCGGCTGTGCAGGGTGAACTCCCCCTCTTTCTGCAGGACACAGTGGGGGGCCACAAGCTCTTGAGCCCCCGCCCCGCCCTGCCCCACAGCCCAGACAAGGTCACAGGGCTGGGCGCCCCTCCGCAGACGGTTCCCACCAGCCTCGGCCGACAGCTGCCCATGCTGCCCCTCGGCAGAGCCTCACACTGGAGAAACTTGGGCCAAGACCTACAAGGGAATGGAGGCGGGGTTCCCCAAACCCCTGCCTTGTGCCTCACTGGTGCCTCAATGGCCATGAGTCCCGAGCCTGCAGACAACCCCCAGCGGGGGCGTGGTCGCCTCCCTCCCACACTGAGGTCACAGAGCAGGGCACAGGCTGAGGTGTGCGAGACCAGGGACAGTCTGGCTGGGCTTTCCCGGCAAAGGTACTGCCTTTTGTGGGAAACGCACGGAAACGTCTATTCCACCCCATTCAGCAGAAACGTGAGCAGGCAGCACGTCTTGTCCCTTCCCAGGTGCCATGGCTCCTCTACAGCAGTTTGCCCACACACCCCCTTTGCTCCTGATGGGCCACTGGCTCACTGAGAGGGCTCAAGGGCACGCCCTGAATAGCGCAGCACTGACGGCAGTAACCACTAATAACCATGACAGTGGCCACCGCTCCTTTGGGAGCCCAGCATCAGGCACTGGCCCATTGTCCCCTTCCCGCCCCTGAGGTGACACTACTGTTCCCCTCCTCCAGGAGCAGGACTCCAGGTCACCTGACCAGGACCCGGGCCCAGGTGCAACACCAGAGCGGTGCCCTGACCCACAGTGCACGCAGCCCCCCTGTCTGTGGACCAGGGGCTCGAACCGGCGTGGTGCCTGTTCTGCACTTCCGGCCGGGCTCTTGGACACCACACGAGGGTGGGTCATGTGGGCGTGAGACACAGGGTCTGAGGGGGCCCAGCTCAGCGGACACCTGGCTCCGATGTGGTTCTGGAGACAAATTTGTTACGGGGTCTGAACGGCTAGCTGAGCGGGGGGCCACAGGACACCGTACCTCGATCAGCCACTTGTTCTGCACAAACTTCTGCAGCACCTGCTCTGCTTCCTTCTTCCTCATCTTCTTGCCTTTAAGCTGATCGACCAGGTTCAAAATATTTGTGGAAGATGCAAAGCCGGTTTCTGAATCAATAATCAGTTCCAACTGGAAGAAACAGCAGGCACCACGTTCATCTATGAAATCGGCAAAAACCACGTTTAAGCAGTCATAGCAGTCCTGGCGGGGACGCGGCGGAACTGCTGATCCCAGGCAGGGCTGAGCCCCGGAACGATCCTTCAGGAAGACAGCTGACCAGCCATAACCACGGTCCGTCCTTTTGACTCAACGGTCACCCCGTAACATCACGCCAAAGGAACGGTCCTTGCGCCCCCACCTCCCCGGGGGCAGAGCTGAGGAATGCACAAACGGATAAGGAGGCGGCACCCTCCACCCTAACGTGGGCAGGCCACCGGGGGCTCAGGGGCTGGCTGGAGGCAGGGAGGGCCGGAAAGCGAAGCCAGGGTGCACCAGGACACAGAGGCACTGTGGAGCCCGGCCAGGCTGGGCTGCCGGGCACGCCCCCGGAGACCACTCACAGTGGGACAGGCCCCCTGGGGACAGGCTTTCTCCACGGCAGCGCCTGCCGTCACAGGGCCTGGTTCTCGACCCTGGCCGCCAACTGCTGTCAGAGGAGGCTCGAGAGGAATGATTCTAGGACTTGTCATCAGAGACCGGGATTGGCCAGATGTGGAGGAGACCTCTTTATGTCCGGTGACTAGAACGTGCCGCGGGCTGAGGAGCGCAGCCTTAGCCAGGTGCTCAGCCAGGTGAGGGACGGGGCTGAGGGGATGGCTCTGAAGCTGGGGAGGTGGACAGAACTGCTTCAGGGGCACCTGTGAACGCACAGGGCCACACGGACAGTCCGAGTGGGGACAGGGACTTGGCCTTGCGACAAGCGTCTGGGCGCCACTGCTGCAGGTCTGGACAGAGCCGCGAGCACCATGCAGGAGCGCCTGTCTGCCTGCACTGCACACCCGGATGCCGGGCGCTCCACCAGTCGGGGTCCAAACCCGGACAAGCCCTTCTTTCCCCGGCAGCCATGCGTCCTCCTGAGTCCCCTCCTGGTGGGGGTGAGCTGCGTGGGGACCCAGCACATGGCTGTCGGGGGCAGCGGTGGTGGCCCTCTAAGCTGGCAGTTTCCATTTCTCATGATGAAGGCAGCAGGTTTCCCACAACTGGCCCGGCCAGTAAACCACAGGGGCTGCTGTACTTACAGCCTTTCTGAACAGATCCAGCTCATTCTCCGCAAAATCTGACGCCATTTTGGAAATGGAAGTCGTTGCAAGATTCACCTAAAAAACAGGTCAGCGTGATGGTCAGGCCGTGCCCTTCACTGGCTGGTTAGCTCACCGGCCGGCTGGTGCAGCCCCCTCACCAGTCCCTGAGCACCGGGCTGTGGGCCATGTTGGCCGCAGGGGCTGGATCTGGGACCGGTCCCACGTTAGCCTGCAGCGTCGAGCTCAGAATCTCAGGTTTTCGGGTTTTCCGAGGCGGTGCGGTGGTTCCCGAAGCAGGTGCATCTGGGGACTGGTCTGTATGCTTCTTGGGGCTTCAGGGGCCGCAGGCACTGAGAAGCCTGCAGCGCCTCTGCGGGTATCCGACTCCACAGCCCCTTCCCCAGAACAGAGTTTGGGAACCCCTGGCCACAGCCCCTCTCCGGGCGGGCCCGCCTGGTGAGCCGGACCTCCTCGGACAGTCTGAGGCGGTCAGTTCGGCCTCACCTGCACTTCCTCTTGTTCTCTGGGGTGGGGAGAGGGGACGGGGGAGGAACTTCCTGGAACCTGAATGGCCCTCAGTGCCCAGCGACCCTACACATTCTCTTCTCACGGCCTCCGTGTCTTATTCCAAATGAGAAACCACTTTTCTCCTTTAATCGTAGTATTCCGGGCATTCGGATGACTTCTTACACTGAACAACGGACAGCATAGAGCATGCAGGGTGTCTCAGGCCGGGGCCAGGGCTGGGGCAGGACTGGGAGGGGAGGGGAACACTGAGGTGACAGCCCCCAGCCCTGATCATGGCAGAGGACACTTACAGCGGCACCAGTGACCGGCAATGGGGGCTGGGTGGGGCGGCGGGGCTGGGCTGTGTCTGTGCCCCATTCCAGGGCTGCCGGAGCACCTCCACGCCTGCACTTCCTCCCAGGAGCCACGGGAGGGCGCCAGCGTGCACTCACCAGCGCGTAAACGGGTCTCCCGTCGTCTTCGGTGGCCCCTTTCTTAATCTCAATATACAAGGACTCCAAGACACTGTTAATGTTGTTGATGAAGTCCTCCAGCTCCTCAACGGCAGCAGTGCCTGGAGAGAACAGGCCGGGGGAGGGGCAGTCACCACAAAAGTGTGTCTGTCTCAATCACCCCGTGGACCCAAGCGCAAAGCCAGCAGCAGGCCAAGGCCCAGGGCGCCGGGGGTGAATGCCAATCTGTGCGGCTCCTTCCCCGCTGAGTGTGCAGGCGGGGAGGGTGACAGGAAGGCCCGGGAAACCGGCGCTATGCACTCTTCTGTCCTGGCTGGAAGCCCCGGGCCTGCCACCCCCTCCTCCCCACTCCGCAGCCCTCCCCACGCAGAGTCTGTCCCTGTACAGCCTCATGTGTGCCGGCTCTGTCTCTATCCCTTCTTCCCTTTATCCGCCATCTGTACGCGCAGGGAACACTCCTGTGCCGGGCCCCACGTGCAGGGTCCAGGGGGCTCGAGCAGCAGCTCAAACCCCCACTCCCCCCAGTGAGAGGCTGCGCTGAGTACCTGTCACAGTTGTTAGTCCGTCCCGCCAGCTGCCCTCCGAAGGAGGCGCCAGTGGCCTCCCCTAACTGGGTGGCCAGGCCAAGAGGCAGAGGGGGCTGGTTTGCTGCTCCTGCCCCTGCTCCATGCGGCCCCCAGCCCGGCCCCCAGCCCAGCCCGCCAGCCCGCAGGGGAGGAGAAGGGACAGAGCCCAGCGCTGCAGGGGCTGCAGTGAATGCAGGGAAGAGGTCCGGGGTCCACAAGGCCGCAGGGGCGGCAGGAGGCCCAGCGCAGGGCCCCACAGACCAGGGCCACGAGGTACCTTCCCCCGCGGGCCACGGGGGGCCACTCAGAGTGGGAAGCAGAGAAAGGACGCAGTCAGCCTGTGCCTTCCCTTACCCTTCTGTGTACTGTGATCCTTTTTCTAAACAAGAAGTATTTATTCATGTTTTCACTTACTAAAGTAGCTTCAACAGACTTAGGAGAAGGAGGCATCATAAAAACAGACAATAGAGACAACAATGAAGCCATTGAAACGATACTGCGGGAGAAAGGCCTGGAAGGATGCCCATTAGGTCCATGACTGAAGCCACTGCCAGAACGGAGACACAGATGAGGGGATCATCCCAAGGCACTTGAACTTCACCTGGGTTAGACTTCCTACAGAGAGAGATTTCCAAGCCCATGCTGCACCTGACGATTGTGAAAGTTTACAAAAACAGCAGGTCACACTGGTGGCAGTAAAGGTCACAGCCACGTGGGCCATGTAGAGGAGACAGTTCTGCCACAGGCAGGGGAGAACACTGAGGGGCCCACTGAGGGGCTAACGACGAAGACCATGACATAACGTTACTATGCAAATCACAACGGGCATCAAATCTTCCTTTTCAAGTAAACTTGTTTAAATAAAACATCAGCAGTGATCAACAGGCAGTACAGGGACGTGGCACGGACTGTGGCGACAGCAGGACAACAGAATCTGGCTGCGGCTGTTGGAAAGCCTGCAATCAGAGGCCTGGATAGCATTTTGCGCCTCCGGGCCTTTGCTCACCCCTTCCTTTCTGAAATGCCCCCCTCCTCCCCACCTCCATCTCTGCCTACTCGTTACGGAAGCCAACTCAAACAGTACTTTTTTCCGTGAACTGTCCTCTGCGGCCCCCGGTGCACGGTGGCCTCGCCTTCCTTCCTCTTCCATACCGAGTGTGTGGGCCCGGAAGCCCTTTCCGCCACAAAGCATCACCCCCGGCCTGCCCCTCCCCACCCCAGAAGCCTGGCTGCGTGGTGACCAGGCACTCAGGGCCACCGCTCACCCACAGGGCAAGCGAAGGGGCTCTTCCCGGGCAGAAGCCACTCGGTCCACCCAGCGTGACACGATGGCAAGTCCAACCTCCCTCTGAAAGTGACACTGCACATTTTCCACTGGAAAGGCCACTCCTGGGTGTCACTGAGAAAAATGTAGCCTGTGGGCAGATCACAAACACTGCAATACGTTGGACTTTCCAGACACGATGTGTGCGTGGGGAGGAGCCCACAGCCGCTCTGGTCCCCCCTCTCCTCCCCCTCCAGCGGGCTGGCCAGCCTCAGCTTTCAGAAACATAAGCATGTTCACTGGATTTTCACTGAACGCCACCACCACCACCACCACCACCACCAACCACTTCCTACTGCCGTGCTCACTGCAGAGACCAGCCACCTGCTCCGTGGCTCACGTTCTCTCGCCTCTTACCCTCCCCGGCCACGCAGCTCCTACGTCAAGGCCGTGTCCACGTCCCTGTCTGCTGCTGACGCTGTGCATGTTTCTCATGCCCCGTGCCACGCTACATCCCTCTTAATCATCCCAAGAAGAAACTGCTCTTGTTCAGTAGCACCGGCCCCTGATTTGAGTCTTAGGGGACAAGAGCATGGTCCAGTCCCGCCTCACTTCTCTGGGGGACCCCAGGTGAGTCTCCCCCTTTCTCTCATCACCCTCTGCCTCACCTCCAGCTTCACACGTGTCTAGAACATACCCCTCTGACCCTCTCTTGGGGGAGCACCCCCCCCAACACACTCTGCCCCAGTCAACAGCCCCTCCCGTCCCCTCCCGTGCAGGCCTCCTCAAGCACTGCCTTCCCCTATCCCTTGGCCCCAGCTACAAATCCGGCCACCCCAGATTTGGTAACTACCAGAGTCACCTGGTAATTTTCAGCCACCGACAGCCATTTCCATCCCTAACCAGACCCTAACTTTTTTTAAAATTGCCTTTCCCCTAGATGTGTGATTTTGGAAGGAGCATAATTCCAGGAACCCACAGCCAGAGAACCAGGAGGCAGGAAGGTGAGGGGGCCAGAGGGGAGGTCAGCCAGGTGTGGCCTCAGTACAGGAAGCAATGAAAGGAGGGCCACAGGGGCTCCAGCTGGGCCCCGGGAGGGGGAAGCCGGGAGGGGGAGGTGGCCTGTAGCCGTAAGGTCATCCTGGGTCCTGGTGCCCTGGGGTCCTGCCCATTCCCCAGCCCCGCCCCTAGCTGTCAGCCAGTCCTGCGCGCCTTTCCCCTCAGCCTCCCAACATGGTTCTTGTAACGTTGGCCATAACTGGGGTCCATTGCTTGCGGCCAAGATCCCCAATGTGCGCATCCAGCGTCAGGGGTGCCCTCCGGCCGGGAGCTCCCCGACCTCCGCTGGGGCGGTGGGTGGGCTGCTCTCACCACTGCGCCTGCGCCGCCTGCCCGGTTCCTGAGACCCATGCAGAGCAGCTACAGCGGGCAGCTCCGGGCCGACACGCTGGCCCGACGGATGGTCAGAGGGTCCCTCTGACCCCAGGAGCCAGTGAATCCACGGTCACGATAAAGTGCATGAGACAAAAGCCCAATCACACACTTCTGGGGCAGTGACTGCCAGTCTCAGTTCTCTGACGGTGACAGGCAATGACAGTGACGGGCTTCAGAGAATTAACAGCATCGGTCCTCCCTTCAGGGTTCCGAGCCACTCGAGAAGGACAGGCTCGAGCTAAGTATCCAAGCCATCATCTTTTGCAGGTTGAGCTGGATCAGAGGCTGGGCCCCTCACCACCACCGACCCGTAGTAGGCGCCGTGGGATGACCAGCTCCAAGGAGTGACAAGCAGGGCCCTGGCCCCACCCCGCTGTCTCTTCTCAGAGAGCAGGGAGACACCAGGCAAAGGTCTATGGATCTTACAGCCCCCCGGGTCCCCTCTACTCGGGACCGAGCTACACCGGCTGTACCCAGCCTTCCCCGCGGGCTGTGGCAAAGCCAGGTCACACACAGCGAGCCTGCCCTTGTGCGGCTGGACTTCACCTCAGTGCACACTGGGCGCCACTTGCGAGTTTGCCTCCCTCTGGCACTGCGAGCACAGGCCCGTAACGTGAGCCGTTAGCATCATCTGTCTATATAAGGGCTTGGGGAGGGTCCACTTACCCAGAGTGCCCGCAGCTTAGACAGGGCACCCAGGCCCGCCCAATGCCATGTCACAGGCTCCCGGACACGAAGCCACAGAGCCTCTGGAGAGCAGGACACACTCGCTCTGCCATGCTAGGGGGCTGAACGGCCACGGCCCAGGAGAGGGCAGACGGCTCCTTCTGTAACAGGAAATGCCCTTCCAATGGACAATTAAGAAAGGGGGACTCAGGGGCGCCTGGGTGGATCAGTTGGTTAAGTGTCTGACTCTTCGACTCAGGTCATAATCTCGCAGTTTCGTAAATTCAAGCCCTGTGTCGGGCTCCGTGCTGACAGCGCAGAACCTGCTTGGAATTCTCTCTCTCTGCCCCTCCCCTGCTTGCACCATCTGTGTCTCTCAAAATAAATTAACAAACAATAATAGGGGACGATGGGGGGACCCAGGCCAGTCCACAGGCCGGGGCACCATTCCTCTGACAAGCAGGCTGCTTCACTCTGAGAGACTGGTTTTTCCGGCCACTTCTGTACATATTTCCCTTTCTTTTAAAATTAAATTTTAGTTTAACCAACGAACCTCGGCTTGCTAAGCGGGGTCCTTGTTTCGCAGCAGGCTACTGGAAGCCAGGGCTCACCGCGCACTTGGGCAGCAGGCGGTCAGGAAGTCTGCTACCCTCACTTCGGAGCCACAAACAGTTCTGTTCCAAACTAGGCACTATAGATAGAAAACACTATTTTTAGGCAGAGGAAATAACAGCCTAAAATAAAAGACCCCGAGGGACCAAACAACTTGCAGGCCAACCTGCCCCGTGACAGGCCTGTCATCTGAAGGGCTGGCTGGGTGGCCCACCTGGGCACAGGGCAAGGACAGGGCAGAGAGCAGCCCTGGGTCTGGGAAAGGCTGGCTGGTGGCGGAGACATAGGGCGGTGGTGGTGGCAGCTGCAGCGGAGTGGGGGCGGGGGTCACATCTCAGCCCGAGACCTTCACATCCATTGCCTGGGGACAAACGGCTCCCTGGCCAGTCAAGTGTGTGGGAAAGGGACGGGAACCGAGGGACAGGAGCCGACAAGAGCACTTCCACAGTCTGGCTAGTTAACGTGCTGCAAGGAGCAGGGAGGGAGGGGCCGTCTTTCATGTGGCAGCTACATGAGGCAAGTCCTTCTCTGTTATCTGTGCGTTGATTCACCCTGCGCC